CCTTCGGCGTCAGCCACACCGCTCCTGTGTTGGGGCAGGCCACCTGCCCCCCGGGGGGCCTGGTGCAGGAGTAGAGCGAGCGGCGGTGTGGCTGTTCCAAGGACGGGCAGGACTCTGGGCCACCAAGGCCTTCTCCTGCCCAGAGCACCCCGGGGACCTCGGGGCTGGGTGGACACACAGGCTGAGCAAGGCGAGCTGATGGGCGGGTCCTTCCCTTCTGCCCCCAGGCTGCACGGAGCACCTGGCCCCTGAGCCTGGCAGTTGGGTGCAGGGTGCAGGAGGGGCCCAGCACTGAGCGGGCCAGCAGGGTGCCCACAGCACGGGGCTGGCTGTCAGACGGAAGCCCGCAGAGCTGGGCTGAAGTGGGTTCGGTGGGTGAGAAGGGCCCACCAGGGGAATGGGTGCTCAGTACACGCCTGCGGCCTCTGCAGAAGCGAGTTGAGGAGACAGAGGCACAGGAAGGCACGGACTTCCTGGTAAAGCCCAGAGCCACCCCCCACCGCAGACGTTTCCTGCCCCTGCCCCAGCTGTTTGATCCTAAAACCCGTGACCTTTGGAGAAGAGCCTGGAAAAGCCCGAGTAGCCCTTCGGAGATCAGGGTGCTCTCTGGGCCCCAGGGCCCCCCCAAAGTCACTTTCTTTCCTGTGTTCAGGCCTCAGGAACCTGGCTGTTGTTTCTCTCATCCCTGAGGGTGGTGGGGAAGTGGTCTGGGTAAGAAAAGTTGAACCTTTCACAGAAACAGCCCAGAGTCAGGGCATCTCCAGCACCTGCTGGACACCCAGCCCACCTGCAACTCGGGCTCAGGGTAGCTTCCAGGGGTGGGGGGGCAGCCCCCGCCCACCAACCTCTTGGACCCAGGGCTTCCTGTGAGAGAGTCCAGCCTCGATGCAAAGTTCGGATTTATCAAAGATGGATTAAAGATAGGCCAAAAATATTCTGGTGCTTTTTTTCCTCTTTTCTGAGATAGTTAAAAAAAAACCCAGGAAACCACATGCCTTGCAGTCTTGGTTGTCTCCGTGCCAGTTTCCAGCATAAATGAGACTCAGAAAATTTCCAGGCTGCTAGCCATTCTCACGGCCGGGCGTTTTCTTGACACTTGGAAAGCTCTGTCTCACGGGAGTGTCTGTGTGGGGAGGAGACGCCTGCCCTGGGCCGGAGCCCTGGGCCCGGCAGGCCCCAGCGGAGGGCGCAGGCTCCAGGACGCGTCGGCCAGGCTGGGTGCCCGGTCCGAGCGTGCTGACTGGCAGGTTGGGCTCGTCACACCCCAAATCTGGGACACAGTGAGCTCCATCACCCTGGGTTGAAGACGAGGGAGGTGGCACTACGAGAGGCCAGGTCAATCTGGGAGGTGTGTGTCCCCCAGGGCGAAGGTGAGAGGTGACCCTCAGAAACCACTGCCCTGCTGCAGACTCGAAGCAGTCTGGTTGCCATGGCTGGGCCGCTGCCGGGACCTGCCTGCTGGCACCTGCCTGCCGGCCTCGGACCAGGCCTGCGCTGCTGCTCCGGGAGGAACTGCAGTGCCGACGAGCAGGGGGCATGCAGAGTGCTTTCACCCCCATCCTAGGTGGGTTCCTAGAGGCAGGGCCTGAGACGGGGGCTCTGGGCCGAGTGGGGAGGCCCCCAGGACACCTGGAGGGAGTTGAGGGGTGTGGGCAGGATGGGAAGCAGCCTCAGCAGGACCCCACGGGGAGCTCTGCAGTGTGAGGAGCTGCTTGGAGTTGGTCCCCCAAAGCCCGGGGCAGCGCTAGACCCTATGAGCCAGGGCCTGGCTGGGAGCTCCCCCCGCCCCCCCACTACTGTGTCTCTTTCTCTAGGCCCATCCAGGTGCCTCCTGTCCAGAGGAGAGTGTAGGAGCGAACATCTGCATGGAATGGCTGTGCGGGGAAGACACGGCAGACCGGGTGGGGTGGGGTGGGGGCCGGCACGTGGCTGGCTGCAGAGGAGGCCTGGCTTCAGGGGTTCCATTCCTAAGTCACCCCGGGCTCTAAAACTGGGGTGCTGACCAGTGCCTGCAGCCACATGGACAGTCTGAGCTTTTTTACTTGGGCACACCTGTGCCCAACCAAGCAGGTGACCCTTGTCTGGGACAGCGTGGGACTCAGTGCCCTGAAGCACCTGGAATGCTGTGTTCACGTGGTACTTTAAAGTTGTTGCAGGTTCCCCAGACATTTCTGAGGGCACGCCGGCCTCCGGGCCTCCAGCAGGCGCGCTGGGCGGGCGCTGGGCGGGGGGCGCACTGGGCGGGGCGCGCGCCCTGGATGCCAGCGTGGCATGGGCTCTCCCGGGGCGGCGTCTGGGCAGGACACACAACTGCCCCACTGTGGCCGCCACATTCCTCCTGGCAGGAGGGACGTGCCACTGCCTGGGGCATTTATCGGGTGCAGGCGGGGCCTGGTTTCCACTGTGGCTGGGTTTTGGGTCAACAAAGCTTTCAAGGTGACACTGGCATTGTGGCCAAGGAGCAGGTGTCTTGAGGGCTATTGGGGGGTGTTCACAGGCCTCTTGGGGTTGACAGTCACAAGTCAAGGGTTGACTTGTGAAGACATTCACCCACCAACCAAACCTCTCAGCTCCTTGCCCTGCTGCAAAGCAAGGACCAGTTACTTCAGACGGCCAGAGCAGGTGGCCCTGGGTGCCCTTGGCCCACCCGCCTTACTGGGCACGGGGGTGGGGGGGGCAAGGCCAGAGGGTAGGGGGCATGGTCTGAAGTTGTGACGCCTGTGCCCAGGCAGAGCCCAGGGCTGTAACAGCCTGCCTGACCCCAGCTGTCTCTGGGGCCCACTGAGGCCAGAGCTGCATCTTTGGACAGTCCCAGCAGGCTGGGGTCCCCGGTGCCCAGATGCCGTCACATCTGCCACAATGTCAGGCAGGACAATCCGAGCTGCCAGGGAAAGGTGAACGGACGTGGGTGTCCCCCAGGGCTGAGGGCGTCCATGTCTCGGCATCGCCCATGACCCATGTGCGCCACTTCAGGCTCACCCTGGATGGTATTATTTCTAAATGGGGTCCTGTGGCCACCCTCCCCCACTCTGCAGGGCAGAGAAGCACGCACTCAGCTGTGCTCTGAGGCCCCTGCCTGGGCAGAGCCTGCTCTCCTCCTGTCCCAGCCAGTAGAGATGCATCACAGAATGGGGGGGATTCCCACCCCCGCAGCCTCAAGTTTGTGTTCTCACCTGGGGATGTTGTTTTGTGCGGGAAGCTGTCGGCAGCCCTCTGCTGTGTCGGAGGGGATGTGCTCTGTGCAGACTAGGGGAGCCTCACTGAGCCCTGCTGCGGCCCAGGCCGGGGGCCAGCATCTGGGGTCCAGGAGGTCTGATTGGGGGCCCTGCCCTTCCCTCCTTTTCCCCAGAGGCCCCCTACCCAGTGCCCCAGGCTTCACCTTTCTCAGAGTGGAAAGGTCAGGAACAACGAATGAGCACTCGACCGGCACCGCCACCTACCTCCAGAGAGTGCCTGTTAATGTTCCGTTCGCCGGACCTGTTTTGGGGGCTCGTTTCCTGTGCCAGCTGGTGGTCGTCTTTATTTCAGAGTGGCACCCAGACACTAGGCTGTGAAAGGACCGGGGCCCTCGGGACAGGCCCGTGATCTGGACAAGAGGAGGCATGTGGCGCCGCTCCAGTCCTCCCCTCGTGTCCCCCTCCCACCCCCGCCAATGCCCATCCCTTCTGTCTAATCCCGCCCCCCTGCCCGAAGGCACTGCATCCGCTCCTGTTGGGAGTCTCCTTGGCTGGCCGCCACAGCCCCCATCCCAGTTTTGTGCTGTGCTAGGAGAGCAGACGTTTAACTCAGCCCACTTGCACACCACACTGTGCCTGGCTGCCCCCTTTCATGACACGTGGCCCGGGCATCCTCAGGTGATGTTCAGGTTTCAGCGCTGCTCAGGCAGGCCCCAGGGCTCCTCCTTCAGTAGGCCAGCCCCACAGAGAGACAGCTGTGGGTGACAGGGACAGGAGGTGGGGGTTCTTTTAAGCTCAGACAGCTTCACATGCAATGACTGGCCATGTGCATTGTGGGCCCGGTGCGGAGTGAAAGTGCAGGCCCTTTTCAAAAACTTGGGAATTCCAAGGTGACGAAAGCAGAGCTTTAAACTGAGCCTGGGGCCCTCCCGAGCGTGCCCATAAAGCCAGCCCTGTGGGCCGGGAGCTTGTGACAGTCACACTGCCACACTGGGGGCCTCACAGGGCCCATCTCCAGCCTCGTACAGATGAGGCTGGGGAGGCTGCAGGGCCCCTGGAAGGTTCCAGGAGTCTCCTCCCCTTGGAGAGCCAGCATCTCAGCATCTCCAGGCGGGGCCTGGGTTCTCATGGAAACCAGCTCCCTGGATGGCTGCATGGCGCACCAGGCAGACATCTGCTCAGCCCTCCTGGAACACCCCCGCCCCCCCGTCCCGGGCACTGAGGGTGGGTGGGGTGGGCATCCTGCCCTTGGTGTTGCAGTGCAGCCTGGCGAGTTTCCATTTGCGTCAGTGGACTCGCTGCGGAATGTTCTTGTAGTGGCTCAAGAGCCTGCCTTGTCTGAAAAGGCACACCTTCAGAACTGGGGCTGCGTAGGGTTTGGGTCCTTCTCTCCTCAGTTGAACAGCGTGGCAGGGAATGTGCACGGAGCTGGATTTTGGCTTGTGCCCTAAATTGTTTTCTTAGGTAAAAACCCTAGAAGTGAAATTGCCTAAAGGAACCTGGCGCCCTTGTATCAGATCACCCTGCGAAAGGTGGTGGCCTGGGCCCCCAGGCCCACGCTCTCTGGCCTTTTGTAGGTGGAAAACTGAGTACTGCATTTATTTATTAACAGAACTTGTTGGCCACGGTACTTCTTCATGAGTAAATGGCGCACAGCCCCTTCTCCTTGCCCAGACGGTGCAGGGGTCCAGGGGTCGGGTGGTCTTCCACCGCCTGGAGGACTCATCGCCCCAGACACTTGGGCCTGGCTTGGCGGGGTGGGTGGTCCTTTGGTTCTGGGAAGGGAGCATGGCCTTGAGTGACCTGTGTGTCTGCCCCCCACAGAACTGTCAGACCTTCAGCAGCCTCAGCTGCCTGAGCTCCGGGACAGAGGACGGCAGCCCGCATGGCCCCTTCGCTCTCCACGTCAGCAGCACCAGGTCCTGGACCGCCTTGCTCTCAGCCTCAGCCCCCGGCCCTGGGGGCAGGACCCCCGCCGGGACCCCAGTCCCCGAGCCTCTCCCCCCACCCTTTGATGACCACCTCGCCTGCAAGGAGGAGCTGAGCTGTGAGGAGTCAGATGGCGGTGCCCTGGACGAGGTCTGCGGCCGGCGGGGGGAGCTGGCCACGGCCTGGCGGGACCGGGGGGCTGCCGAGAGCAGCCCCTGCTCCCTGGACGGCGAGTTGGATATCGAACAGATAGAGAATAACTGAAGGGGCCACGGGCCCCTGGTCGGGGGTGGGGTGCATGAGGATCCACAGCCTCCCTCCGCACTAGGTGGGCACTTGAAGGGAGGCGCCCCACTCCTGGGCCTGACAGAAGCTTCCTGGAAGGCATCGGGTCCTGGGGAGTGAGCCCACCCACCTCCCGGAAAGGCCGTTCAGCCTGCTGGGGCCCTGGTCGCGCCTCGCAGTGGAACGGAGCGCCCGGCCCTCGCCAGCATGGCCGCTGTGGTCCACGGAACTGCTGTAGCCGCCGGAGCAGCTGCTCGGTTCGGGTCTGCCTCCCCATTTTCCTTGTGGGACATTGGCCAGGCCCCCCTGAACAGTCTCCTGGCCCTGGCTGGGGTTCCCAGCCCCGCGCAGCTTGTTGCGGGACACAGGCCCCCCCGGGGCTGTCAAGGCCCCGCCCTCTGCTCAGGTTCCGTCTGGGGAGTCGGCCCTGCAGGTTCTTTCACTCAGTCTTATCTGTGCCTTTGCTCCCAGGTCTCCCTCCTGCGGGCTTGGGGGCGCTGCCTCCTGCAGTAACGCCAGAACCGTTTGGCCTTAATTCCAAGTGTGAGAGACGGGCCTGGGCTGCTGGGGTGGCCCTCCACGCTGGAACTCTCGGGGCCCAGGGAACAACTTGGGGTGCTCATTAGAGGCCATCTACATCAGACACTGGGTGGATCTGTTGGCCGAAAAGACAGACCCACTAACCTCCCCCGTGTGTGGAGAGCCCAGCCCCGAGGCTCTCCACTGCTTGGGCTGCTTCGGCGGGGTCGGCAGGTGGCAGCCACTTCCTATGCCAGCCTGTCACTGAGCGCTGAGCTTAGTTGCTTCAGGTGAGTGGAGACTCGTCACCGTAAAAGGGCAGCCTCTGGAAAACATCCTCAGGAGGCAGGCGTTGTACAGGCACACAGACCAGGCCTGGGCGCGTTCGGGGTGGAGAGGTCTGCTGCCTACTCGGGGGGCCCGGCCCGGTCCAGGCCTGCCAGGCCCCCTGCAGGGTTCCAGGTACGTTCTCCTTGGTGGGGGGCAGCCAGCTCTATCAGGATGGCCCATCCCTCTCTAGGCAAGCCCCCCAAACCCCACTACTCAGAGCATGGGGGCAGAGAGTGTCAGTGCCGCCTCCTTGCCGCACCCAGCGCAGGCTCAGAGCTCAAGGTGCACCCGCCCGTCCCCAGCTCCGGGCGCCTGGCTCCTCCCTCTTGGGCAGCTCCTGTCCACCTGTCTGCAGACTCCCCACGTGGGGGCTGCTCTCTTGGAATCAGGCTTTGAGCAAACTCGGCTCTTCACAGGCAATAGCAAACAGTCGGCTTATGAGCCATGGGCTCCTTTTCCCAAAAGGCTACACATGAGCGCTGCGCTCTCCGGAGCCGCCAACACGCAATGTGGGCAGTCACAGTGGCGCTCCGCTTGGCGCATCTGTTCATAGCGAAGGCTTCCCTCACTTCTGCAGGTTAACTGCTCCTCCTCTTTTCCCTAAAGGGAGATTCTGGTGGGAAGCTTTACTGAAACCTTCACTTTTTTATATCAGAGGAGGTGGCTCGGGTTCTGGCGTATAGGTGGTTTTTTCTACAAACCAGCCATAAGATGCAGAAAACCCCATCAGTGGCCTGGGAGATGAGTGGAAGCCCCTGGTCAGGGAGTATAGGGGGTGTGCAGGCCCTGGGCAGGGCTGGGGTGCCCACCAGCTTCGCCTGAGTGGCTCCCACCAAAGGCACAGCCCCTTAGGACCGTGGAGAGCCAAACCAGAGTGCTGGGGGCTCCGGGCAGACGAGGACATCTCGGCCGACCCCCGCCTGGCGGGCTGTGGAGGTTGTGTCCCCTTGGCAGTAACCCAGAGGAGGGGGCGGGTGAGTTGGAGAGCACTGCAGATGCTCCGAGTCCCCAGGAGGCCTGGGGTGGGGGTGCTGGTGTTTGGCCCACACCAAGAAGAGTGACCACAGAGGGACCACGGCCTCTAAAGCAGCCCCTCCTGTGGGAGGAGTGGCAGGGCCCCATCCCCTTGTCCACACTGCAGGTGACCACAGTGAGGGGCCGGGAGCTGAGCCAGGACAGGCCTGGGTGGCAGCCCCCAGATGCCTTTCCTTGGGGGACAGGAAGGGAGGCACATGGCGGTGGGTGTCACAGGGCTGTGGTGCAGTTGACCTCCCTGTGGACTAGCAGTCCAGCCCCAGGGCACTTTCAGGCAGAGGGGACCCCAGCCCAAGGCAGGGTTGGACCCCTCACAGCCTCTCTGGCCCCTCTTGACTGTGCCCGCCAAGCTCCTGTCCCAAGCCCGAGCCCACAGCGGCAGCACTGGGGGCAGAGGATGGCCTGTGTCCCTTCTGCTCAGAGAAGGATGCAGCCTGTAGTTGGTTTCATATTTGTCCTCTGGTTGTAGAGAGCAGACTTCATCTAGAAAGCTCTGCCACATTGCCCAGGGAGGCCCTTTCTGGTCTTGGAGGGAGGCTCACCCAGGGAGCTCTCTCGGACCCCGTGTGACCATCCCCAGGGGCGGTGGGCAGACTGGCGGCTCACCCTGCAGCAGCCTCACTTTGGTCAGAGTCCTGCCTCTTGCATCTGATGCCCATGAACTCCCGCCCCTGGGGGGCGCCGAGGAAGTCAGAGCAGGAGGGGGGCTGTGCCAGGCTGTATGCCGGCCCTGGGGGTCCTGGAGGATGGGTGGGGAGGAGAGGCTTGCTGTCACACGCCCCCCCCCCTACTTGCCCCCAAGGAGTGCCCTCTAAGGCCCCCGGGCTCCCAGGGGCTGCTGTCTGCCTGTGGGGGCCGGGCAGGGCTCCGGACTACAGCCCCCGACCCCGTTTACATTGCCGCAAACCCTCTTGCCTTACTCTTGGTGGCCAGAACCTGGCCCGGGGCCCACAGGCACATGTGATGTGCAGGCCACAGGGGACCCAGTTCTGACCATACCTACGGATTTTCATTCTCAGAAAGCCTTACTTTTCCACAGTTTTTGTAGCAGGAAAGTTTTGTGAATTTGTATGCTGAAAGAGAATTTCAATAAAGCGAAAGCCCACATGATGAAATGAAACCAAACGTCCACATGAGTCTCCCCGTGTAGGGGGGAGGGGTGTGTGGTTCCCACACCCCGGCGTTCAGGGCACTGTCCATCCGAGCAGCTTCCGAGGCATTGAACCCAGCTTGGGCTTGCTCCCCCCGTGCCGCACATCCATGTCTGCTCGTGAGGCCGGAGTCACGCACTTGGCCTCGGGCCAGCCACCTAGGTTGTCACCACTCCACGCTCTGTGACTGGGGCAGGGGCAGACCCCCCCTGCTGCCACCAGCAGACGCTATGCTCCCCTGCAAGCAATGGGCCGCCTCTCGCCACAGCCCCATAGTTGGTCACATCCTGCCCTTTGGTGCCAGTCCCAGAAAACCACTTCTCTTTGAAGGGGGAAGGGACGAGAGGAAAGAAGTCCCAGATGGCAGCGGGGAGCGTGTAGCCCAGGTAGGGTAGTCTGACCTTCTAGCACAGTCTCGTGGGCAAATAAATGGTGTGTTCAGTGCGTGGGGGGATGTCCTGGTGCTAGGTGACAGCGCTGGGCTGTTTGGGGGCCGCAGTGTGCTTTCCTGGAACTGGATGTCCCCCGGGAAGGGTGGTGGCCAGGCCCCGCCCTGGGCAGAGCAACCTGTGAGCCCAAGGCGCCCAGCGCAGCCCGCCCTCCGCCCAGGCAGAGCTGTCCCGCACTACAGCTGCTCTAGTCTCAGGAATTTGCTTGTTACTTTTACTGTGTAAATAAAGCTTCCTGGTTTAATGTCCATCCACCAGGAGCTGTGTGTGGTTTCTGTTGGGTGTCGCTGATCAGCGGGAACCCCTGTCGCCTCTGAACCTCAGTGTGGGGTCTGTGAAATGGCGGTAGCGGACATCTCCAGGCTCTTCAGAGGCTTGGATGCAGGGGCTGTGTGAGTGACCGTGGCAGGGAGGGCTGGCCAGGGCTACGGCTGTGGTGGTGGGGGGTCTCCTCTGCTGGTGCCGTCTGGGTAACCTGGTGCCCAGAGCCCCAGCACAGTGGAGCAGAGATGCCCCCTCCATAAATGTCTGAGTCCAGAGCCCTTGGGAGGGCGTCACTGTAGCCCTCGGCAGGCACACGGCGGTCGGCTACAGGTCACAGTGCCCCAGGCCTGGCCTAGAGCCCCACAGGGCCACCTGCCTACCACGGCAGCCAAAGAGGAGGCACAGGCTGGGCCCCACACCCCACAGAGAACAGGATGGCTGGCCCCTGTGCTGTGTGGGGAGCGGGGCACACGGTTCCTGTGTGTGCCCCTCCAAATCCAGGACCCCTGGCTGACCAGGCACGGAAGACTAGTTTGGTGCAGGCTGTGGACGGCTGGGGAGACACGTCTCCCTGCCGCACCCCAGTGCTGGTCGCTGTGCTCCGACCACAGGGTTGCCTGGTGCCTGTGCCAAGCCCCAAGGGTGCTCCTCTCCCCAGAGGGCCCCCTGGGCTGCTGGACTCCGCCCCTTCTCTGTTGAGCCGCAGATCCCTTTTCAGACTGAATGGTCTATGACCACCTGGTGCACAGAACCAGTGAAGGGAGGCCGGTTTGGCTGAAGTTGTGTGTGAGGGAGCCCCTACCCCAGGAGCCTTAGAGTAGTACCAAGGCCAGGGACCCAGGGAACCAGCCTCACATCCCCTGTGACAGAGCAGAGGCCAGGGAGCCTGCCCATGTGCCCTTCCCACAGGGCAGACACAGCGTGGCCCTGGGCAGACCTCCAGCCCGAGTCCCTTACCTGCCCTTCTTGGGCAAGGTCCCTGGCTGGGCTCTGGCCTTCGGGGAGCAGTGTCTGATCTCCACCTCAGCTCACCCAGCAGTGGTGTCCTGCTTCTTGCCCCGGGGTCCCCCATGGCAGGGGTTGGGTGCTGCCACACCCTCCTGCACCTCCAGATTTGCCGAAGCTGGGACACAGCCCCTGACCGGGCTCGCTCACACCTGCTCCAGACACGGCCAGTGTCTGTGTAATTGAGCCATGACATTTGTGGGGCTTAAACAACCCCAGGGGTGCAGTGCCATGCCAACTGTTAAAAACATGTCTCCCCTTGCCCTGGCTGGTGTAGCTCAGTGGACTGAGCGCGGGCCTGCAAACCACACGATCGCAGTTTGATTCCCAGTCAGGGCACATGCTTGGGTTGCAGGCCAGTTCCCAGCAGGGGACTCATGAGAAGGCAACCACACATTGATGTTTCTCTCCCTCTCTCCTTCCCATCTAAAGATAAATAAATAAAATATTAAAAATAAATAAAAATAAAAACGTGTCTCCATGTGGAAAAGAAGTGCCCCCAAATCTCAGGTTATCTTCTTTGAGTGACTGGGGGCTTCCTTTAATGTTCTTCTGTTGAATTTCCTGTAGTAATACCTATCTGTTTTTATAATCGAAAAGGATGCTCAAAACCTGAGAAAACAGGTAACACAGTGTCCAATGTGTTCATCTAAACGGGTCGTTTGGAGAGGGGAAGCCAGAACTGTGGATAAGCCACACTAGGCTAGGAGGCGGGACCATGAGCACATGGGGCCCTCCCTGCACCCCCGTTTCTGTGCCCTTCCCATGCCTTTGAGGGACCCTTTCCCCCTGAGCTGGAGCCTCCTGAGCCTGGTGGCCGACGCACACCTGGTGGTGGGGACCAGATGCCATTTGGATCCCGACTCAGGTCAGCCCTGAACTGCAGCCCCACCCTTGGCCAACGGCTCCATCTGTGGTGGCCCAAGAAGTCTTCCTGCCCTGCCTGGGGGCGTGAGAAGTCTGCAGGAGGCCAAGGCCAGGAGCAGGGGCCCAGGAGGACCCAGGGTGGCAGCAGGATAGGGGTCACCGTCCCAGTGACTGACAGGACACCTGGTGTGGCCTGGTACCCAGCTGCACTGTGATGGTCTGCTAAGGAACGGAGGAGGTGGCTGAGGCTCAGGGGCCACATGCTGCCCCCTGGGCTGAGGGCCAACTCTGAAAACATCTTATCTTCAGAGGGAGGGAGCCAGGGCACTGACTGACCTGGGGCCACCGGGGCCACCTGGTCACAGCCACCGGGGCCACCAGAACTGCCCCTCTCCCGCTGCCGCCACGGGAATGCAGACAGGACCAGAAAAGGCACAGACACGTCAGACCTGGACGTGCGCCTGGGCCCTGCCCTTACTAATGGTCAGCCCACAGGCGGGCCACTCTCAGCACCTTGGTGTCCCTCCATGTAAACAGGGGAGGTGACAGCCCACTCCACTGAACCCACATGGGTGGGCAGGCGTGTTCTCTGCCCAGAGTGGGGGTTTGCCTCGAGAAGGGAAAGAAAACAAGCAGGACAGAACTCTGCAGCCCGTCCCCACCAAGCCGCCCCCCCCCAAAGCCACACCTGGGTTTCCCAACAAGCTGTGATGAGGGGCCCCATCAAAGAGCAGGTGATTTGCATATTTTCCACCTAACAGAGTGAACACCGCCCCCTTCCTAGTGGCCTCACATCTTGATAAAAAGACAGTCACCACCATGGGTCACTCCTCCTGATCTGTGCCTGCCTGCTGGGTCCCCGTCGTGCCGGGGGCTTGGGTTCTGGAGTCCACTGTTTTATCACTCTGCTTTCATTCAGCCAGAATCCTGTCCCAGGGGGCCCAGGGCTGCTTTTATGAGACGTCTCCCGAGATGGATCAGTGGCTTCCAGACTGATCTGGGGAGAAGCAGACCAGTCCAGTTAGCTGTTCGGCCAGTGCCTGCCTTTGAAACCTGAACAGGGCTTCGAGTGATCGGGAAGCGTGAGGCTGCCTGCCGCTGGCCGTGGGGCTGCTCAGGAAGGAAGGCTGATGTTCACCCAGTCCACCTCGTCCACCTCGTCCCCCCCCGAGGTCGGCCTGTTTCCCCATCTGTTAAAGAGGAGGTCAGCTCGGGCAGGGCGTCTCAGGGCCCAGGCCCTCTGCGGTCCAGCGGTTCGAGCACACGGTGGGAGCAGGGCCTGCCCGCACCTCCCAGCCCATGGTCCTGGGCAGTCGGGTGGGCCACAGGTCAGGGTAGTTTATTGAACTGCTTCCTCCTGTGTACAGTGGGCGTGACACGCTCAAGTCAATCAAGTTACGGCTCTATAAGGTGCCCTCTGTGCCCACGCCCCTGATCCCACGGGCCAGCATTCCTGCCTCACAGCATGTGGTCTTCAAATGCCCCTGGAGCTGCCCCGGCTTTTGCCTCCACAGGGGACTTGTGGGGACAGGAAAGGGTGGGTGGCCAGGGTGTGAGTGCCTTGGGGGTGCTCAGCAGCCACTCGGAGTCCGGGTGGGGGCGGTGGTGGGGCTGGGCAGTCGGTCCTGGGCCGTCCCAGGGAGGCCTGTTTTCTCCGGGCTCCGCTCCAATGCCAAGAGCATTTGATGAAGCGGCAGTGGGCGACTGCCTCGGGGTCCTTGTAGGAGTGCTGTGGACGGGGGTCACGAGAGCATGCGGACCTGGGGGTTCCGGACACTCCCGGAACACCTCCTCCGAGGCCTTTCCCCTGCTCTCACCCCAGCTTCACCAGGGCCTCGCAGGTAGCAGAGGAGGGTGTAGGGGGAGTGTACTGCTGACTGCTGGGAGGCGGGGGCCGTGGGGTGGGAGGGACAGGAAGGGGTCTGGGGGGGTCTGGGCTGGGGGGGGAGGGGTGCAGGAGGCGGGGGGGGGGCCTCCCCAGAGGCTCATCACTTGTCTGCGTGCTTCAGCAGCAGGTCCACAGCCTCCGCGAGGTTGTCCACGTGGCCGTCGGCCTTCACTTCCGGGTGGTGCTCGTCGCTGGGCCTGCGGAGCAGGGCAGAGGCCAGTCAGTCTGCACCCCAGCCCCCACAACTCAGGGGACACACATCCCCCGACTGTTGCTTCCACCTGGAGACCCCCCAAACCTCTGCCACTGGAAGCCAGCTCAGTGCCTCTGCTCCATCTGAGCTGCCAGCAGGGGAACACCCCCTGGAGAGGGGCCATGAAGCTGACCCTGTTCCGAGTTCCTTTCTGCCCAAACCCTAGGGGGCCCACCTGCCATCTGGCCAGTGCCCTCCAAGGTGGCTCCCACCCAATGGAGGGCCGGCAAAGCCACACTCTGCCCGGGATCTTGGGCCTGGGAACCCCCATGGTTTTCATCTGTTCCCCGGACATTCCCTGAGGCCCGGCTGGATGCTGAGGACAAGGAGGGTGAGACCACGCGATACATGCAGGTGCCTCTGGGGTACTTGTGGCGCCAAGGGGACCCCTCGTGGGGGCTTCATGGAGGAGGGGCTGTATCTGCACCCAGGTGATATGAGTGGGGGAGACTGTGATGGGGCATTGCCAGGTGCCCGGGAAATCCACCACCACCGAGTGAGCCAAGGCCCCCACGCAGGCAGGGCGCTGGCTGCCATCAGCTCTTCCTCCCCGTCAGGCGCTATGGGCCCAGGGAAGGCGATGACGGAGGAGAGGACGAGGCCATTCTGTGCATGGGCCCCGACAGCGTCACACAGCATCACAGGGACGTTCCTTGTAGTGGCAGAAGCCAAATGGCGGCCTGGACCCCCACAGAGGAGCCCAGCAGGGAGTGCTGTGCCCGTCTCCCTCTCCTAGGCCCACCGGCCGAGGGGACGTCCTGAGGGGTCAGGGGTACACCCCACCCTGGTCTACTCCAGGCCAGGGCCACCCAGTGGCTCCCGAAGGCAGAGGCCCTGGTGTTGCTCACGTGGGAGGGGCAGGGGTCCTTGTCCCGACTGTTTTGGAAGGACTGGCTGCACCCCAGTGGGTGGCTGGGGTGGGGCCGGGGCAGGCCTGCCCAGTGAATTCGGGGAGCTGGCCCTGGGGCGTGACACCATCGGGA